TTAGCGATATAACTGTGAAGTTTGAGACGGTATATCGCCACAACAAGCAGGACAGAAAATGTTTTAGGCACTCGCTGTGAGTCAAGCTGCGAACACTGACCCCCAGAGATAGGAAAGGATACAGTGGCTTGCAAAAGTATTGGGCCCCCTTGAACTTTCCCACATTTTGTCACATTACAGCCACAAACATGAATCAGTTTTATTGGAATTCCACGTGAAAGACCAACACAAAGTGGTGCACACGTGAGAAGTGGAACGAAAATCAGACATGATTCCAAACATTTTTTACAAATAAATAACTGAAAAGTGGGGTTCTTCCACATGACAATCACTGACTTCAGAAGAAGATGAAGAGGAGGAGGAAGGTTCATTACCCCCTGAACAGCTGTTTCACATGGATCAGATTAAAGCCGTCCTCCCCAGTCTCATAAATCAGGTGCCATAACCTCCTTTTTGACACAGAGTGTGTCGTATGTTTTGTCTTTAATAGCTTTGTTGTATGAAATGTTCTTTAGTGGTCGCTGGATTTCAACAGTATTATGCTGCATATATTATTTCCAGTCATTCTATCTGTGATGGCAGTCACATCTGTGTCCACTACATTTCCAGTGATGGAGCTGCTCTGTGGTGCAGAAGGAGATTGCTACAGGATTTCCTCTCAGCTAGCACCTGCTTGCAGGATTAGACAAACCCACATTTAGAGCATTTGGTGACTCTGAATGACTTTCCTGTTGGAGATGTTCCCTATAAAACTCTTTTTGTTTTTGTGTTTTGTTTTTGTTTTATTTTTATTTTTTTGGGGGGTTGTATAAAAGAAAAGACAACAACAACAACAATAATAAAACTCTGGCTGAAATTATTTCAGCGCAATCAATCCAACATAATCTTTAATCTTCTAATCTCTAATCTTTAAACGAACAGCATCTTTTCATTCCTTCAGACTGATCGGTACTATGAGCAGCACTTTTCAGATTGTGTTCACCTCAGTTGTGTGTGTGAGGGTACACAACTCAGCTGACAGCATCCCCACGCTGTAAGTCTAATTGAGCCTCACTGAGACCTGTGTGTATGTGTGTGGATCCCCACAGAGGTGGGCCTGATTTTCTTTGATAGCACATAGTGCAGATTACTGAAAGACACTGATGAATACAGGACACACACACAGCTGAGAGATGAGGTTTTCTATATGTTTACACAGCCAGTGTTCCTCTCAGACGTCCCAAAGCAGCTCAAATGATTTTCCCCTTTATGAATTCCTATATTTGGCTGCTCGGGCTTCACACTAGGGCTTATTTTTTATTACGTTTTGTTTGCCATAAAACACTCTGATCAGACTCTTTTAGGACCGTCTGCTCCAGAGTCTCGGACTCGTTTTACTGCACAGGTCATTTTTAATATGTCAGTTTATTTGGGTTACTGCAAATGTACCAAGAATGACAAATACTTTCCGAATGATTTCTGCTATTTTTGCCTCGTGTTGTGTCTTGTTTTTGTGTTGAATAATTGCATTAAACCCTTCATCAGTGCACTCTACACTGTCACCAAAAAGAGTGAATTTAGAATTGACTGAAATTAGCTACAGAGCATATTTGTGACTCTTAAAAGGTGACGTTGAGTGTTGGCAATATAAGTGGTAATTTTGACATTCAGCACCACCAGCACTGCTGGATTAGTTGTATTGTTTACTCCTTATGCACAATGCTGATGGCAGGTGGGAGAAGACTAAATATTTCCTTCCATCCTTAGACACACTACAGGGAAGCTGACACGCTGAGGCTGTTTTTATTTTTAACATACTAGCAATGTAGTATTGGAGTAATTAAGGTAATATATCACATCATTTGATGCCACAAGAGATGGAAATAAGTGCACTATAAATCCTTTCAAGCTTGTTGACCACTTCAAAAGAAGCCTTATTGAGTTTTTTTGGGAGTAATTCATTCGAAATCATCTTTTGAGTATTGAAAATGGAAAACCAGCCAAGTTAAGCTCCTCAAAGTTGAAATAATGCATTAAATAAACTTCAAATATAAAGCTCAGTGAGACCCTGGTATTTTAATAGTCTCAGCAGAAACAGCTGTGAGAATGTTCAAATTCTAAATAATAATCTGACTGCTTTGCTAGGATGTGGCATTAAAAGGTTTAGCACCCCTTGATTAAATTATTATTGTTGTTGTACTTTGAGGCATTTCATTTGAAGTTTGTTTTATGCAGCCTGATTACAAATGTCCACTATTCCCTACTGTGTTTGCACTGTTTTAATCTAATGATATATGGGTCTTTCATTGCCAGCATCTTTTGCAGCATTTTTTGCAGAACCTTTTGGTTAAAACAGGTGGTCTTTTTGTTTGATTGTCTTAAACTAAAAATCAGGTTAACCCTTTAAACTTAGAGTCCCAGAGAGCAGCCATTTGGCTTTT